CTTTCTTTTGACAAAAGGATGAAGTCTCTATCTGTCAGGGAAGCCGAGATATTGCAAAATAAAAAAGGTCTTCAACTTTTGAACAGCACTTTTTATATAAAAATTAACCCGGTCCTGAAAGGGTTAAGAAATATTATTAAAGTTTTTGAATAAAATCTCACCGAAGAATATCATGAAGTTGATCAAATGTATTTTGTTCCTTAACTGTCCCTTTTATGTGATTTAAACAACGTTGCTACAATATAAGATAACAGTTGTAAATTTCTTATAAAGAAAGAATATCTTTCTTACCAGTTGTAATAGACGCTCACTACATCTTTTATTATGTTGACTCAAACGCAAAATTTGTGCACTAAATTAAATCAAACAAAACTGCTATTGTATATCTTTGATTTACTTCTACTATCATTTTGTATTATTTTCCGTTTACTTATGCATAACGAGTGCTAGATCACAATAGTAATAGAGAAAAAAGTCAATCTATTTAAGAAATGAACATTATAGCAAAGAAGTCATTCAGGGATGGCTAGAAAAACTGCACCCCAAAATTTTAATCATCTATTGTAGGATTCTCTCGAAGAGAAGGAACAGTATTGAAGAAGACTCCAGCATTCTACACTATAAAAAGCTATAAATTCATTAGAGCACCTTTGCGATTGTATTTTTTTGTCTTTTCTTGATAATGCAGTACGATGTTGTTCAGCCTCCATTTCTAATTGATGTGAACATCTTGTCAGATCGATATATTTTCGACGTAACTCGTTGTAAAAATTCAGAAAAGTACCAAATTCTAAAGTAAAGAGTACTATTTATCGATATGGAAACGAATACTTTTAAGCGCAGATCACCTGCATCAGAACTTCGTTGGAATAAATGGTGATTACGAGTTAAAATATCTTGATAGACTGTAATACGTTGTAGTTTACTTTTAAGATTATTGTCCATCTGAAATGAATAATGAAGGATAGAACTGAGAGTGAGCTGCTGTAGTTGAATGACCTCTTATACAACGAAAAGTGGAGGCACGAATTTATTGACATTCAGACACATATACTGTATACGAAAAAAAATAAATGAGAAAGCCAGAAATGCTAGTATAAAGTTGACTTTAAACATCATAAAATAAGAATTTACAGAGCTCTTTTCAAAGACAGTAAAGATGAGCAAAGATGACTGATTCAGAAAGATTATTCCAGTCGGTGACTGTGAACCAAAGGAGATTGTACCGTTTGAGAAGAGAAACCAACACGCGAAGAAATAGCGTAAAGAAGAATAGTGAGGATCTTGAACCACACAAAAAATATAAAGAGAAGTGAGATGGTGATAAATTTTAAAAAATTGAACGAGGAGAAAGATTTCAATCAAGTGCAAAAAAATTTATAAACAAAGAACTGACCATGCACGAAAACTGAAACCACGTCTCGCTCTCCTAAACTGACTACATCAGGTTTAAGTCTTATTGTGAAAGTGGTGCAACGCACGCCGAAAGCAGAGAGAGAAGGGACAATAACCCTGTTTGGATACTTTTTCCCATGACTCGGGCAAAACTCCCAAGGGACTCCTGTCACGGGGTCCTGCAAGATCCTACAGGAGTCAGGTGGAACTTTCAAGGGCTTTCTCAGGACTCCTGTGGAACTTTCGAGTCCTGCGGGGGTCCAACGAAAGCCCTCAGAATCCTCAAAGTCCCACGGGAGTCCTGAGAAATCCCTTGAAAGTCCCATCTGACTTCCGCAGGCCCCTGTGACAGGAGTCCCAGGAGTGGGAGTTTTGCCGGGAGTCTCGACTAGGAAGCTTTGTTCAAAATACGTTCATTAAAAAGATACCATCACCACATGGTTAATGGCAAAATTCCGGCCATTTACTCAAACTTCAGCTTACTTGGATGACTTTCATTCTCAAAAACCTCGGAATCAACTAAATACCACTTAGCGGTAAGACAAAACATATATCCCTGTAAGAACCAATTTTTGAAACGGCAAACGTAATAACAGCTGTTCATATAGTTCGTATCTTTCTGCTTCTGTTATCTGCACTATTAAACTAAACATCAGAAAAGTGAGTAACCATGCCATCCACTTCTCTGTATTGTACATTAAGGAAAGTGGATGCATATCACTCACCACCCAATTCAGCAGATCAAAAGTGGACTACTTAGTACAATTTTTGAACTGCTAAAGTGGGTGATAAGTGATAAACAAAGGAAATTCATCCCCTTTCCTTGATCTGATCTACAATGCAGAAAAATGAATGGCATGACTACTCACTTTTCTGATGTCAAGTTGTACAGTGTAGTCGTTTAATATAATGATATATAAGTATTAGACGGTTAAACCACGGCATCCATAAATTTTACCCATAAATCTCTACTATCAACGTGAAATTTCGAAATTTTGCAGCAATTGTAGCGTTTATAGATAGAAATTTATGGATGCCTTGATTTGAGCGCATTAGACTCCGAAGAAATAGGTTTATACAATAGGAGAAAAACTAGCACAATAATGTTCGTTTGGTAAACTCTGGAGCATCCTTTGGATGTCTCGAACGCTAAATAATGGTATGATACAAATACCAGCAAGTGGAGTTGTTCAAGATACTATACCAACATAATATTAGAGTGATCTAGCTCCAGTGAAGCCCTTTATATATTGTTCAAAATCTTTGTCTAAATCAGTACTTCTCTAAAGAAAATAGAGTAGTAGAATGCCTGATCGTGAACATTTTACTGTTTATTGTTAACTTAACTTAATCATGCTCCCATCTATTATTATAGATAACGTATGGATTCAAGGAAAGTGCGTAGCACAATGATTGACATGTAGTTTCTTGTTTTTTTACAACAGCATGTGCATATTGGAAACATTTAGGTGCATTGAATGAGGTGAAGTGAGTTTTTATGAATTAAGTGTATCAACATGAGTTTTCTTCCTCGCTTAGCGTAATATTCTAGTCGAGAATCCGGATCACAACCTGTATGTCTATTGAAAAAAGTTCACAGGAAAATCACTACTTGATACGAAAAATCTTGAACATCTTGATATTGCGTATTTATGATGAGGGTTGGCAGTACAAAACAGAGTCCTTCACAAATCCTGCAAGACAATATATAGATTCCTGTACCGCTTCCAGAGGACTAACTGACATAAATCAGGATTCAATATGAAAGTAAGAGCCCAACAAGATTGGTGTATTCATATAAAACGCGACTTCAGCAAGATCTCATCTTTTTACAAGACTTCGACACAATTTCGCTCAGGATCGTTTATCAGAATATCTTAACCGTTAAGATATTTTAATAGTAAATAAACAATCAACATTAAAGATTGCAAAATTATGTCGATTACGTAAAATGCACTTTCATCTGTTACAAGAAATTTAGCGTTTGATACGCTTCAATTTCCTTTGTATATTTGTAGTTTGAGGAATAACAGCTGTGAGTGTCTCTTCCTTTCACATAGAGAATAAACTGTTTCTTTTCTAGATAAACTTCGTCATTCTGAAGTTGACAATTTTTTTTGTAAAGTTAGAATGGGAAACATTTGCCCGTGGTGTAAGAATCATGATGAGGAACCAACCGAGCGAACACCGTAAGTTATTGTAGTTTTCTAGATCAATAAAAACGTCTTATTAATATTTTCTATTTAGTCTGCTTATTCCAAACCAAACTCAAACCTCGCTTTCAAATGAAAATAGCGTTACTTCTGTCCAACCGGAGAACACGCCTCCTGAACCAAATCCATTTACTGAGATGACAACGATCGTAGAAAATATGTTCCCGAAATTAATTGACGTTATTGAATGGGAAAGAAATCCACCAAATGTACAACCTGTACTAGCAGATGAGAATGGTGATTATTCCTCAACACGACAAAATAGTGAACATAATACAAAGTTAATTAAAGCATTACAAACACTGATACAGAAGAAAAATTATAATTTAGTCAATAGTACACCAAATAGTAATAACACAAGTTATACCTCTTTATCCTCTTCGTCGTCAGCCATTTTACCCGACTGTGGTTCAACAACGTTGGTCAGCGTTTTATCAGCAAAACCTGTTTCGCAAGAACTCTGCCACTACGTGTCGACCATGGCCGAGGATTTCAACCGAGTTATTATAGAGGAGATAAAAATTGTACATAAAGAAGATTTGGTGGTGAATTTTGAATAAGATAGAGAGACAGGTAGGAAAACAGAGTAAAATAACGAAAATATTCACGTAGAACATTAGCTGAATAGAAAAAAGGGTAATACATTGTCATCTGCGATGATTACTGGAATCAACACTGGATTTTGAGCAACGTTAGACACCTCATGTTTTCATAGTTAGAATGTAGCGGAAAATGAAGGTTGTTATATGCGAACGGTCTTTTATGTATTTCTGATAGATAAAAATTATCATTTAGCGTCATGTTTTTTGTTCTTATTTGTTGTTGTTATATAGTACTTTTATTATCGTCCTTTTGGTTGTATATTTGTCGTTTTCTATCAAACAGTGCGTATTATTTGACACAAAACAAAAACACGGTATTTTTTAGTATACAGGTTTTTCTTTAAACTGGTGCTTTATCTTTCTTCGACGGTTTTGTTCATTACATTATTTACCTATCTGTACACGTCTTTTATGTATAAAACTTACATTTTCTTTTGTTTACATTTCTGATTAAAAAACGAAAACTAACCACTTGTTTGTTTGTTGTTTTTCTCTTGTAACCTTTGATAGTTTCTATTTTCATAAGGTTGATACCTTCGATATTTGACGGAGTTATTTTCAGACATGAAGACTTTTCTCAATCATGACTGATTGAAGTAAAGTATTTGAGCTTGAATAAACTATTTATAGTTATTAGACTTCTTGTTCCAATACAACTTTATATCTTTAAAATACTGCATATGAATTTAGATTACCTTCTTTCCTTAGTCTATTCGTCCTGTACCCATGAATCTCGCGAGATATTTCTCCGTCAACAGTAATTTTTTCTTTTTCGAAATCTTGAGTTTAGCGTTTGAACATTTCACGATTTTGCTTAGATGACGATCGAGGAAGGAACCACTAATGTAACAAAAACTTTAAAGATTTTTCACAAAATTAGTGTTTCTAATATACTATGTACTTCGACAAAAAACCGGTGAATCCCTCAATTGTACGAGATTTCATCGAACTTGTGTGGAAATTATTGAATTTTACGGGAATCCTAATAAGTTCTGGTAATAGTGTCATTGTATTTCTCCCAGGTGCAAGGGAGAAAAGTCATTTTAGATGGCGTTTCCATTTTTTCCACTTTAAGTGACTTTTTTCATTTAAAAGTTGCTTTTTTCAAAGACGGTCCATTTAAAATTCACCGTTTCCTTTTCGCAGGTGATTCGACTAGAATCATTTGTCTTGATGTTTTTCCTTTTCTTCAGTTTTTACTTGATACTTCGTTCATCGTTGACACATCACTTTCTCCAAGGGGAAAAATGCAGCACTTAGTGGCGGTTAAGCTGCTAAAAGATGCCGTAAGGTACTGCCTTGCACAACATACGGTAGTGAGATCGAATCACACATTGCACGCATCCTTTCGTCTACGAATAAATTTGAAGGATTAAGCTTGGCTGCATTTGTATCATACTGCTAAGAAGACAATAACACTTTATTTTTGATTCAACAGGAAGTAAAATAATAAAAAGTTCGTGGTAGGATTTGATCCTTTTGCCCATCCGCTATTTTTAACTTTACGAAGTAAGAACGTTACTGATAGACTAAATCGGTAGTTTGGGATGCTGAGGTGCTGTACTTGAAAAAGTAGCTTTTCCCTCTTGATTTTTCAGGAATTTACTAGAAATGCATTCTTACAAGAATTGTGTGAGTAGGAGAATTTCTATTTCCAGTTCCTCTTCATTGGCCATTTAGATCGTTGCTGTACGTTTAAGAGTAGCACACATGAAAGATCCTACTTCTAGTGTTGAAAATGTTTTTTCCTCCTTCGTCTATTGAAACGAAGAACTATGATCTCTTTCTTTCTTGGGAGTAATCAAATTAACATAGAAAGTCTTTGTTTTTCATGAGTAATTGACTCATAACTATGATGTTCAAAAGTAATGCAATACTTCAGAACATTTTGAACAGTTCTTGTTATTTTTACTTTTATTTTAAACCATCTGAGACTGAACGCCCATTGTGTGTATACTAAGCTTTTCTTTTTTTTCAATAAATTTGTATTTTCCTTGACAAAAATCGCAGATATTTCTGTTTTATTTTGTTTAAATTTATTGCATAGACACAGTAAAATGTTGCCTACAAAGAACAGTCTAAGACTTAACGCTGATTTTGTGCCAAAATCAGAAATCTAGAATGTCAGACCGAACATGTTTATACCTTTAGTAATGGTATCGCTCTTTTGTAGTTTCAATTACTGTCTATTAAGTCTATTAACAAATTCTACACACCTTTTAGTTTAAATGTTACACTCGAAATACTAGTAGAGAAATGGATTTGTTAGCCGGAAGAAAATGTCTTTTCAAGTATTTTATAAGAAACCTCAAGACTATCTCAGCTAATCTATGAATGAGTGAGTTATAAAATAGAGATATGTAGTAAACTTTGAAAATAGTGATGCGTTTTTTTCATTTTTTATATGTTCTGAAAAAAGACTAATGATTCATTCAAAATTTATGTGCAAAACTACATTTAACTAGCTACCATACAACTATTACAGCATGAAAAAGATGAAAAACATTTTCTCTCTGACTATATACTAATCGGAAGGAATATTCTAATATTTTAAAATCCGACATTTTTCTAATAATAAAAATCGAGTTTAACATTTAAACCAAAAGATGTACAGAATTTGGTAATAAACTTAATAGTAGAGATCTGCACGGGCAAAATTTTTCTGCCCGTGAGTGTCCATGCCCGTGGTCCTAGTTGGGTTGTTTGTCCGTGCTCGCCCGCAGATTTTTTCAACTGCCGCGGTGGAATAAAAACATTTCTTTCACTCTGATGTGCCGCAGCAAGAAAACATTTTTAACTGATTACAACTGATTACATACAACATGTACAAAGAAAATTTTATCGTCCACGTGTATATATTATGTTATCTTTTTTTGGGTTGTCTCTCACTATCTATATTTCGATTATAAACAATTCATATCTTCGAATATATTTTTTGTTGCTCAAGAAGTTTTTTCTAAAACTCGTATCCGTCAAAGGGAGCGCTTGCCTACCCGTGTCCGTCCGCTGTTTTTTTGAGCCTCTCGTTCATGGTCGCGACGGAATTCCCGTGCCCGTGTAGATCTCTACTTAGTACATAGTCCCATGAGGACAGAAGTGTAGAAAGAAAAAGCGATATATCTCGCTAAAAGTAGAAAAATTAATAAATATGGCGATAAACTGATTTTTATCGAGATAAACTTTGATGTCATGATATATTAGAGTGACCACCACATCCCAATTTAAATGTTAACACAGTGAATTATTATATCGCGATAATTCCAACTAAACCGTTATAGTGCGACATCATTGTGTCGCTGTTTCTTGCCATAGAATTTTCATCTCGATATTTCGAGGAGCTATAATGATGAACCGATACCTTGATAAAGTGCGATATTTTCGCATAATTGTAATGTTTATAATAACTTTGGTATTCGACCGTATAGATGAGTCATCATACATCGTGTTTATCGCGATAAAATCTAACGCGATAAATGTTGAATCATCAATCAACAGTTCTAAAAACTTTAAAAACGGCAATTAATGCAAACTTTCAATATGTTGTTCAAATAAAATACTTCGAAGTTTTTAAGCTTTTTCTTATTAACTTGAAGTCTGCCTAAATGACATTGATGAGCAGAATCTAGTGGACCATCCCAGTTGGTTCTCAGATCCTGCCGAAAAAATGCACAGTGAAATAAATAATAATATAAGGTTCCTGAGGAACCTTATACCGAGGAACCGTTCCTCGGTATATATCCCTTTAGCTTATACATCCCCGTATAGCGGGGCGTGTCGACGTTTGGGACATATCCGAATAAGTCTATCGAAAAAGTCCTCGTGTGGTAATTGAAGCTGCAACAGGGTCATATACTGCTATCTAAGGATTGTAATTCCTTCTATAAGTGCAACCGTTGTTATACACGTCACTACCTCTACTGACAGATGTCGCATTCTGTCGGGAACATCTGACAGATGTCGAGAATATTCTAGACATCCTTTTCTGGGTTCTCCCACGCTCGATGAGTCCCCATATTGGATTATTCTTCAATACTTTTATAACTCTATATAAGAGTTGGTTTTCTCAGTGTAATATCATCAATCATTATAAAGTTATATTTGAAATAAAACAGGACAAGATAGTATTAGTTATATTTGATCATGACAGATACCATCACTACAGCTATAAACAGTGTTCTGTCTGACATTTTAGATTTCTGATTTTAGCACAAAATAAGATCGAAATTAGCATTAAGCCTTAGATCGTTCTTTGTAGGCAACATTTTACTGAGTATGTGTCATAATTTGCCTAATGTGTAAAAATATTTGACTTTCATGAGTAACTGAAGACAAGGTATATATAATGAAAAGAAATGGATTGTTGCGTGTTGAAAATAGGAAATAATTTAAGTTGTAAATGGTATCATGTTATTGGCCACTGTTTGCAAAGTTCCTATAAGCGACTTCGTGGTATATTAAAACAACATGTAGTCGATTTTTTTTGTTTTAGGATTAAAACTTTGTTCAGTAGTAGATATGCACCAGTTTTTAACGGATGTTGGGGCGTCAGGGAAAATTGCTATTATTATCAAGATTTACTCATAGCTGTAGAACATCTCATTTTGTAGACAAATGTTTGCTCTACCAAATGCATTTATTAAAAAAATTCTAAAAGTATTTCTAACAAAACTTAGAGTATGCAAAAATACATTAAATCATGAAAAAAAACCTGTTCGAATAGTTTTTGTTTCGTAATTTGGTGCATTTTCGAATGTTTTAAGTTTTGTTAGAAATACTTTTGGAATTTTTTTAATAAATACATTTGATAGAGCAAATATTTTTGTACAAAATGAGACGTTTCACACCTATGAGTAAATCTTGATAACCGATGCATAGGAATTTTTCTCGATGCCCCAATACCAGTTAGAAGCTGATGCATACCTATTCAGTAGTCTTTTCATTTTCATGCACAAATGGAAGAGTTTCATAACACATTCTACTTCATAATCACCCTGATCATGTTTTCTCGTCAATATATTTCAGGAAGTACTATTTATATCACATATATTTTTGTGCTTTCTAGATAGAATCGACCATTTTATTCAATGTCCGAATCACGAGAACAAATTTTAGCTGATTTTCAGGTATGTCTGTTGTTTCTTGGTACTGAACCTTATTTGCTCATGCACTCTTATTGTCGATATTTAGGCCTGCACTGGACTGGAAAATATGGAAGAATGTATTCATTGTTTAGATCAATATGACTGGAATTTAATGGTATTTACATATATATATATATATATATATATAGAGAGAGAGAGAGAGAGAGAGAGAGAGAGAGAATATTTATTAGTAGAAAGGATCTTTTTTATTTGCTGAACGGCTTCGAAAGAGTACCCTTCTCTTTAATGCATAAGACTTCTCGGTTTGATTTGTTCAGATGATGTTATTTGTATGATACAAATTGAGTAATAAAATACAAATGTTTTTCATCGAGTGGATCACTGATATCTCTTAGCATGCTTAGATGTTCATCAGCATCATAACAAAACAAAATTTTTATCGATTAAGTCCTAGGTGAACTAAAAGTACCTTAGATTATTCGTATATTAAACATGTTTGTAGATGTAAGTTTTCGTTATTTATTGAAGATCTCTAGTTCACACGTATTTGTGCTAGTATTAAACCTTTTGTCAAAATTTATGTTCTTGTTTTTTTTTGTTTCCGTGTTTGATAGAAAGCTGTTGAGGCTGTAAATCAAACAATCGGATCATCTGGTACTGATGATTTATCTCCTCAAAGAGTAGGAAAAGCTACCGCAACATCCACATCTTCTACGAGCGCAACTCGTAAAATTCCTTCAAGTGACGATGATGATGATGAACCAAAAGTGATTAAAACGTATACGAATAATTCGACAGCCCGTCGTTCAACAGCAGAAAAAACATCGTTAAGACCAAATAAAACTACACCTACTTCTGGCACGTCGTTGAAAACACGTAGTATGTTTGATAATTTCTATAGGTGCTTATATTTTATCTCAATGTAAGCAATTTTATTAGGCTCTGATGATCGAATTCGTGAATTAAATTTCAATGTTGAATATCGTGACGCAACAGAACGTATAACAGCATCAGAACAAGACACTATTCGTAAGTTTTTATAAGAGAAGTAGAGATGTTGTACTATGCAGTGCAACAAATTTCAACAGATAGGGTCTTTAACAAACGCATTTTTTATTTTATTTCTCTAAATGCTTTTGAATAGAAACATGCCTGCCTATGACCTGTTCTCAAAACACTGGTGATTCTAATCATGTTACGATTTCTCGAGAAAATTGTTCGATCGCGTTTCAAATTTTTATCATAGATGCTGCAGACTGTGCCAGGTTCTAAAGTTTTTAAAGCGTTTTTAACTTCAACTTTTGTTGTGAGAAGGTTTTCAAAAGTCAAAAAGCGATTTTACAATGGTTTTCAGAATATCTGTAGAAGGAAAGCATATTTTTCGCCAGAAACTAGAATTTGAGGTAGGATGTGAAGTAATTCTGGTAAAACTTGGACTCAATCTGATCATTTTTTCGAGGATCGTAATGTTGTTGGATGGAAACCGAGTTCTCCAAAAAATCCGTGGAGGTACACATTACAAAATTCTGGGCAAAAATACTTCGATTTTCTTTTTCGATGTTCTATCTCCGATATAAATTTGAACTCGATCTGACATCTTCTTCCAGCTTTTCCTAAGAGAGGAATACCCTTAATAAGTGTTGTAGTGGATAATGGATTTATGCTTGTGGTTCTTCTTTTCAAGTTCAACTGAAAGAAAAAATTGCAAAAAAATTTAATGTGCCAACTAACAGACAACATTTTGTAGATTGGAAACACCGGCAAAATGATAATGTATGTGTCTTGTCATTTTTTTCTATAGCCTTTTTTTTATTTCTATTGATTTATCTGTTTAGACACATCTTAAAGACTTAAGTTTGCCCAAACATAACGACATACATTTAGTATCTAGTACTCCATCATCAAGTGGTCATAATCTTCGTACAGCATCAACAATAACACAAACAAATAGGTTTAAAAAAACATTATTCATTTCTCGTTCATTTTTTATTTATGCAATAATCTCTCAATTTTAGTCGACATGATAATCATGCATCAGCATCATCATTTAATTATGACTTTCCTATTACAGTTCGATGCGAAGATAAATTTGGACGACAAATTCCCTATGAATTATGCTTACTAGACAATACGACAATCGCAGAAGTATACTACTTAACTAGTTCTTGTTTATTAAAATTTCTTGAATTTTCTTATTTTGAATAGATAAAAAAACAAGTTGAACGATTAACTCAGTTACCAGTAAAAAGTCAAGAATGGAAAGGATTAAACGGCTGCAAAGATTCGGTAAGAGCGGAGAAGTATGCAGTTCGAAAGTAGGTCTGCAAAAGTTCACGTTTCGTTCCTTGAATGTTAAAAACGCTAAAGCACTGGTGAACGTGAGCTTTTTTTATACGAACGATGTTTATATCGTCTGAAGTAAATATAAACTTCTGTTCTTGTACTGCCGTAAGAATATATATATTTTTGCTTGGTCTTATCTGATCAATAGAAACTCTAGTGAAAGATCAGATGGTCTGCTGAGGATAGTGACCAGATTATTGCAATGTAAAAAGGATACTCCTTGATTCTCTGATCAAGACATTGATTCTTCCAAGAGCAGATCGAGGATTTTCTGACCAGCAGACTAGTTTTTCCGGCACTGGAACCGAAGTTCATTGATCAAAACCATTACAGTGACTACATTCGGGACAAACAAGTGTTGATTTTTCATTAAATATAACTGGCAATGGAGAAAGCTGTTTCATTTGGTATACTGCTATACTAGTACTACTTTGGTATACATTATACTAGGTGAAATTGCTATATAACGTTTTGCAATACTATTCATTCCATACAAGATCAACATCGTTCATATAAAATAAAGTTAACGTTCACCAGAACGTTCACGTTCAAGGAAAGCGCATGTACTTTAGCGTTCACGTTCAAAGAGAACGCTAAAAAGGAACGCTGAACTTTTGCAGGCCTAGTCGAAAGTAACGGTACTCAGCTTTTTTAGGACGAGGTTTGCTTTTTTCCGTTAGAAATTCGAGATCCTTTGCGAAAAAAATTCGCAATTCCGTCTAGGAGCATCATTTTGACTTCAAATTCGCACCAAACACTCTACAGTGTCTGTAGACTATCTAATCGAAGTATCAAGGTTAACTATTGTGTGGTTTCGGAAATTCATTAAGAGTCAGCATCCACAATTGAAACATACGTAGAGGAGCGAGGGTGATGAACTAAAGTTCGCTCTTTCTACTATAGAATTTACATTCAGTGTACACCATAACCATGAAAAAATAATCATGGAAACCGATGGTTTCGAAAAACTTAGGTGAAAATTTTATTAGAAAGATTACACACACAACTCTAACCTTCACTATTTCATTTATTTTCCGCCCTTTTCATTCCCCATATATTTTCAAGCAAAACTAATAACATATTTGAGATCAGCAGACAAAACTGGATTCGTTGAGTAGTACTTTAACGACTGCAATTAATATAATACGTCTAGAGTTTCGCTTCGTACACGTTGTCTTTAAGTTACTATTACCATATCAGAAAATACATTGAACTTGTTAGTCAACTCAATAAAACTGTTTATAACGAATGATGTAGAAGGATGAAGCAAAAGTAGTTTAAATTAAAAAAGAGAAGAGAAAAATCGAAGCTTTTTTGTCAAAATAGAAAGGCGAAAAATGGTACACTAAATTTGTTTTTTAGGATACATTAAATTCGAGTGGTATTCAACCAAAAGCAACATTATCAGTTCGACGTGCACCTATTCCACTGGTGAAACTTGATTCGAAGGTAATTAAATTCATTTTTACTACTTAACAATTCCGAGAATATTCATTTTACACTACGTTAACTTTATGATTTCTGCTTTTTTTTCTTCTAATTAATTATTTATTTAGAATTCAAATCATAGTGATGATGAACAATCTGTGATGGAAATTGATGATGATGATAATACGGGGTTTGATGAAGCTTCCTTCACATCAAAACGTGAACCATTGATACCAGATCGATGTACAAATGAATCAGCCGGTCTTGAAAATTTTATTCGTATATTTCCAAAACGATTTTCAGCATCTGGTCCAATATTATATATTGGCTCATTAGAAAGTGCTATTCAAGGTTCACTTCATTCACCTATTAAACATCGACGTCCATTAGCCATTTATTTACATCATGATGACAGTATATGTGCAAATGTATTTTGCTCTCAGGTACTTTGTTCAGATACAATTGTCGAATATTTGGCAAATAATTACGTTCTATGGGCGTGGGATTTAACATTTGATTCAAATCGAATTAAGTAAGCGTTAATTTAGGTAGTTTATTCTATCTAGCTTTTAATAGATTTGAATGCATTAGATGAGTAGAAAACAGTCTTACCGCCTTTGAATGTCTGAAATGATAATACATTTAGGAACCTTGAACTTTTTAATTTTTCTAATCTATTTTTACATATTCAATTTGATCAAATGCCTTTTTTATCAAAACATTTTAACTTACAATTTTTTACTCGTTTAAACGCCTTATAGTTTTAGACGCCTTGAAAATTAATATGTTCACCTTTTAGCGTATTTGAACGCATGAATTGTGAGAAGTTTAAATACGTTTAAAGTTTTCAAGATCTTAGAATGTCTTAACATTCAATTTGTTCGCATGAATTAAAAAAAGTTAATACATTACAGTACGTTAAAAGATTTCAACACGTTGAAGATCATTGGGTTTATAAGACGTTAAAAGACAAAAGTTTTTCAAACGCATAAAAAGAAATTTTTGGTTAATTTAATTTTAACACTTTTAATATCTTGAAATAATTTAATATGAGAGTAAAATGCGTTTTTTTAGCTAGACTGATGCGTTAAACTACCGATTTTAACGTATTAATAAAATTTTAATGTAATTTTTTCATTGACTTTTGGTATGCAAAATTTAACATGACATTTCGTTTCAGACTTATTGAATTATTAAAAAGTCATGTTGGTACAACTTGTGCTTTGCGAGTTCAATCCATGAATAAAGAAAGTTTTCCGTTAATTCTTATTATTACAAGACATCGTGGAAATATGGAATTGATTAATATTATTGAAGGAAACACAACACCCGATGAAGTATTGAATAATCTTATACAATCATATGAAACGTTTGACGAACAACTCAGACGAGACGAAGTGGAAGAAGTAAGAGTTGTAAAATTGTGTACGTAGTCTTTCTAATTATAATTCGATTATAGACATTGCGTGAAACACGAGAAAATTTAAAACGTCAACAAGAGGAAGAATACAAAGCATCTTTAGCTGCTGATGTTGCCAAACAAAAACAACGAATGGAAGATGAAAAAAAAGTGAAAGAACAAGAACATGCTGAAGAAAATCAAAAAAAGCAACGACTAGTAAGTACCAATATCATCTTTTTATATTATTAAAAAACTGAACTATCATTTTTCTTATTATAGGCTATGCAAAAAGAATGTCAAGCAAAATTAACAGCTGAACCACTTGACAGTGATAAAGATATAACAACATTGAAGATACGTTTACCAGATAATCAGGGGATATTAATGAGGCGATTTCGAATCAAAGACACACTGCAGGTATACAATTAGCTATTCATGTTATAAGTTGATAGACCTGTTGACATTTAATATTGTCTATCTTAAAATAAAGTGCGACAAAATCTGATAAAATATTCGTTTCACAGCACTTTTGTCACCATACTCTTTCGTCATTGGGTAATACTAAACTTTCATCATATGAAGAAAATTCTGTTTTCAGGGACAAAAGTTCTTTCGGCATGTGATGAAAGTTTAGCTACGTTTACAAAGCGGTTACAAAAATTAACCCCTTTTTTGACGTAAGTTAGTTTTCGATTGTGACGAAAGTGTCTGGTTTTTTAGATAGGTGACAGGGCACTTTGCATGAAACGGCTTCGATGAAATCAAGGTTTTAGTGCAAAGTTCATGAGTCCAAAGTGTAGTAGTGCAAACTGGAAACGTGTAAAAAACCCTTCTGAAGTCTTTTTTCTAAAGTCGAAGTATCAAAATCAACTATCCATTACATTTGCGAGTAGTTCGGTCTGGAGTAGTCCACACTGTAGCAGTCCAAACGAGAGCAGTTCATTTACAGTCAATAAGGATAGTATATAAACGTGAGAAAAACGGCAAAATAAAGCGTTGTTGTGCACACGAACTCTTGCCAAACGTTATAACGCGTTAGTTGCCGTTATGTTCTTAATGTGACGAAAGTTCACTGTAGGCTGTGACGATAGTTGTAAGTATGTTATACAGTCAAAATCACCTAAAACATATGTTATCGATCACGGGAAATATTTTTGAACCGATTCTGATGAGTTTGCAGTTTTTAATGGAAATTGCCTAAAATGGCTTATTTCAGCTAAATTAGGTTTTAACCAGTTGTTTAAATTTCTAATGAAAACAAACAGTGCCGCGAGGCTCAACGTGATCGATAACATATGTTTTAGTTGATTTTCAGATTCCCATCATGGTCATATGGCTGCCTCAGGTAAAATCTCAGCATACCCGACCGGTAAGGGGCAGCGACGTACCCAGCATTCCAGTAAGAGATGGATCAAGCCCTTTTTCGGCCAAAGAAAAACATAAAACAAGTTATTGTGTAGTATTTTTATTTTCAATTTCAATCAAAATATTTTTTTTACTGTGAAATGAAGGAAACAAAATTCTAAGAAGTGGACCATGGCCTACCCCTGGCCTAGTACTGGGTACGTCGTTGTTATGGATAGAGATCTCGGTGAACAAGTAGAGAGGATGTCGTTCTATCTAGGAATGTATCTATAACGAAAAATCTGCTGTGATTTTGCATAACCGCGGTCTTCATGACTTTTTCCTGATGAGATGTGCTATGGTAGATGTCAACTGTGAAACCCTTTTTCAGTAGATCAATGGTTCGAAACAGCAAAAACCTGAATGTTGCTGCAAAGTTATCCAAGAAAAATGACATAGTGCACTATATTTTGAAATAGATAGTAAACGCTGCTCACTTATCGTCAAAACTAAAGCCCTGTTATCAGACTTCGCCTATTTATTAACATAAAATTGTTGTTTTAGACATTATTTGACTATCTCACGAGTGAAGGTCGTATGTTTGGTGAATATAAACTATTATCCATTCATCCTAGACGAGATGTATGTAATTTTGTTTATCTCTTGATGAAGCTTGATGTTATTCAATTTTTATCTCTTTTTTTAGTTAACAGCGTTGAATAAGTCAGATACGCTTGAAAAATTAAAATTATATCCACAAGAACAGTTGATACTTGAAGCATTATAACAACTGGTCATAATCACGTTTTTTGTTTTATTTTTAATGACACTAATACAACAAATAAATAATTAATACTATATATTTTCTTTTGCTCAAAAATAATACAGTATATTCATTGAGTATCGTTCATAATTTATGCGCGACAACAAGTATTTTCATTTGACAATTTCTTTTCATTAAAATACGGACATGTTTACGTTTGAAAAAATAAATATGACCAGTGTGTGAATTATATCGTCTTTTTTCTTTTTCATGTTATACACACTGAAAAAACTCATTTTTTGTTGTTGTTGTATGAACAATTATTTCAATGACAAAATTTTGGGAAGAGAGACTATCTTATTCAATCGAGCCGGTTTATAAGACTATCTCTTGTTATAGAAATGAATGTCCTTTTTTTTCTCTTTTTTCCCTATTCATATGTAAATTGTCTCTTTTTACTTTATACATGTTTGTATCTAAAAACAAATTCATATATTCATTTTCCAAATAGATGCAAAACATTTATTTCACTTGTATATGTTTTTCAATGTGTGTGTGTGTGTGTCAATATCTTACTTAACTAATTCTATAACCCAATATACACACAAACATAAAAGAATGCCAATATCCATCTCAACTTCTTTCTTTTACTTTTGTTCTTTTTTTTTTATTCTGGAATGATAATCGCAAAATAAACAATAAAAGAGTGTGACGAATTTTGGTTCAGTTAACGTTGGTGTAGAATACAAGAATCAGAGGAGAACACGTGTAATTTGTATTTTTATGAGAAGTTTCTCTTTTCTCAAAGTTGCAATGGCAGATCAAAGAATTACTTGAACATAGTATTCTTACTTATCTTCGACTCAGTAAAGAACAATTAGATGCATAACTACTAAACGGAAGTCAATTAGTTCAATATGATGTTCATCTATTAAAAAATTCTCTATTCAAACACTATACGAAAGTAAACGAGTGTACAATAATTTCTTTATGAATAAATAACCAACGTCTCATATTTAATTGCTGTCTTTTGTAATGTTTTTTCTCAAGTTAAGCTTGACTAATAAATCTTGTTTTGATGCTGAAATATAGAAAAATTTCTATAAATTTTCATTATATGTTGTTTTTAAGATGAGCGTTTGTAGCAGTAGTGTTAAAAGTATTAAAAATAGTGAACCTGGAAGCCGCAAAAATATCTACTCTTCAGCACTTAACCAGATAGAATATAATAGGATTTCTAGGTATTAAATAGTTTTACCAGACGATTCAAACATTGTGCAAAAACCTGGAATATCAAAGCGAATCAATGCGTGAAAAGGATGATATCTTTCACAGGTTGAAACTCTTTATCTGTTGGTACGGTCCACTCTCCGTCTCTTTTCTCGCTTCTGTGTAGGAATATTAATTAAAATTTAATTTATTATCCTGTTTTGTATTAATATTGCTTGATCGATTTTATTCATTTTGTTTGAACGTTTTTTCAACGAATAAATCAGCTTGATGATCGTACTTATTCTAAACAGCTCTATCTATCTGCTCCTGTGAAAAAATTAATTAGAAAATGCGTAACGACTTTCCCCGAATAAAATAATATTTACAGATTGAACTATCACATAATATCGACCACTCAGCGAAGTTATTGATGTCAGTAGTAAAGATTTACGAGCAGATTGAAACTGACAATGGATCCGAATACGAGATGGTATGGAAAAGGCAAGGTGACGAAGAAAAATCCATTCTCAATATCAGCAGCCGTGGGTATCCTTTCCTCATCGGACTCGGCTTCCACTCTTCATAGCACAACAACCTAAAGATCTACTTAATGCGTATGGAAAAATGTGCGCCAACTGTAGAATATTGGAATTCCACCACACTTATAACTTTTCAGGGACTGAAGTGATCTACACAGTTACCTTCGACCGATCGTATTTTGAATATATGAAATGCTTATTTAACAGGTATTTTGGAATCGAAAAAGTAAAGTCATATTCAGAATGAGTGTGCCGAGTTGCATTGAATCATGTATAACACTATAAGTTTTGAACCGAAATTTCTTAGTTTCGGTGCTTGTTTGTATGTAGGCGCTAACTCTGCGAGAAAAAACTCTCACAAAATTCTAAAAGCTCTCAATTAATACCACCTACGCATGGTGTCCGACGTCCCGCATTACAACACCCTGACAGTCAAACTACGTGCGTTACTTTGAAAAAATATTTACGGGACCACGAGATCGGGACCAAAAATGAGTTCTTTTCACGAGACTAGGACCAGGACCAAAACTTATTTTGTTCATGGGATCGGGACCAAAAAGGTTTGATCCCGCAGACCTCTAATCCATCGAACTTTTTTCTATGAATCAGCACGATCGATTTTTTCTGAAAAGGTTGATTTTTCTTGAAAAGCGCCAGAGATGACTATGCAGTGATAATTATTCATGAAAAAAAAGGGTTTATGAGCAAAATCTACCCCGTCCCCGATAATTGTATATGTTGTACAGTTTGATGGGCTACGCTACAATAACCCGCCTTTATGGGGTCACAAACGTAAAAAAAATGATGAAAATTTAGTTAAAAAATTATTTTTTTTCCATGTATTTTGCTGGAAAATGAAGCTATTTTGAAAAAAGTTTTGCCAAGAATGCTGCAGAAACGGTGCATGGTAAACATCAAATTTTGGTACAAAAATTGTGCGCAATGGCCGACTGCAGGGGGTAAAGTTGTCTGATTTTCAAAATTTTCTTCCAAATGTTTTAAATTAAAACTTTTTTAAAATTAAAATTTAATTCTTTCAAAATTTTCCCATTAGCTCTAAAAGACCTTGTTAGGCAGTCTCTTATGGTGCTAATATGGTGAAACTCCTCTACATTAGCCGAAAGATGATATTGAGAATAGTGTACACTAACATAAAGGAGCAACAAAAATTGCAGCTGTCTTTTCAGATGAATACACTTCCCTTTCAAGGGTCTTTGAAGTGTCAAATCTTTGATCGAAAAAAATCATAGTCAGAATCAGAAGAGGGATACACCAGTCTGTTTAGAGGAATAGACTTCCTGAATAAGATGATCACACTAACCTATGGAGAGGAATACACCGCCAGGTTAAGATGAATACACCCTGCGGAGAAGGTTAAAAAATAGGTCAGAATCAAGGCTTTTTGGGTATAAAACTTCAACTCCTTCTCCTTTGAAGGTATTGGAGGAGTTTCACAAAACAAACAACGTTATCCATGTAGTGGACCGTTTTACACATTTTTTGTACCACGAGTTTTACTCCATCATGCTTCGTTTTTTTTGCAGGACCTTTGGCTCTATCTCTTAAACCGTGATGAGCATTAGGACTTTAAATTTTAAATTTTAATTAAAATTTAAACTTAATTAATTAATAACTCTGTGAATAGTTACCAGTTCATCGAAAAAACTTAAGGATATATGTAATCAGGTGTCCTCTTCAAACTGACATAGTTTTAGGGCACATATAGGGGTGAGGCCCCCCTAAGGCATCTGTTGATTATTCTTCTAGCCTACTTTGGTTTTGTCTAGTGTGAAAATAATAATTAAACTAATTGTTCTCATCGATTTAGTAACTAAAACAGAACTAAAGCATAAAGTGATTTATTCTTCCCTGCATAGAACAATAACAACACAAGCTGAGAGAAAATGTGAAATACCAAAGTAATTGCATTTCATGTATCCAAAAGAAGAAACGAATCAATATCTCTAAGAGTGAAATATTGACATAATCTAACAATACATCGGTGATTGCGATTCTAATAAATTTTGCTCTAAATACATAACACATACAAAAGTGACTTTTTTCAATGACAAATCTTTTTTTTCTTCTTCTTGTACTGGTACAAAAAAAATGCATTATACATATTTCATATGTATCTGAAAGGTTAGTAGTTGGAATAAGTCAAAGCCTGTCCTATTTCCGTAATATATTACCAGATGTTATATCTATTTCTGTCTATTGTCGTGTATATCACTGATAGAAAGCATTTGTATACAAAAACAATCGACTTTTTGTTTGGCAACGCATGACACAATTCTAGTTTACATCGATTTTATCAGGCAAAATGAAATTATATTGTCTATTGTTTATGCTAGTGATTTTTGTTTCAAATATTCAATGTCAAAAAACAAAAAAATGTATCAGCAATTTAACACTGAATGGAACGAATTTGATTACAATGAACAGAAAAAAATTGTTAGTTGTTGGTCTGTTAAATTTTGCTTGTCCAACATGTTGGAATCAGGCCACGAGGTATGTGAAAAAGTGTATAAATAATGAATTTGTGTAATAAATAAATAAATTAAAAAGAGAGGTACGTGCTGCAGTTCAGACATTGCACGGAGGAACACAAAAAATATTTACTTGATTTAGCTATTGTTTTTAGCACCCATAACTACTTTTTATAATCTTAAGGGTCTCCTCAGGAAAAAACTCTTTTATCTTACATCCGGTTTTGATGGCGCTTATAGTGACTAATGCTTATTGTCCAACTAGCTTATGCTAAAAATTCGAGATCGAAGCGGTGCCGAGTTATTGAGTGACAAGGGACAAAATGGGACTCTCTTCAAAACGCTAAGACTTTTTTGTTGGGAGGTGCAAAAAACTGCGCGTGGTCTCAAATGAAAGTAGACACCTAAATCTAAAGTTTGCCCGTAGCGATTTTTGAATTTCTCTTCCGTTCATTCCCTACATGTACTTTAAGGTAGAACTCTCAAAATAATCCTAAACTCAGAGGGTATTTTCCACTTTTCTCTGTACAGAAAACGAAATTCAAAAATCACTACGAGAAAAATTTTAGATAAATGTCTTAGCTTCAAAATACAAAAAAGAAGGAAGATTTTATGATGAATCGTCTATGAGCAGTAGCATTTTTGCTGTATCAAAACCATATTCTAAGCAATGACGTCATCACTTCATTAATTATAATTCGGCGCCTTTGGCAAAACTAGTATAGAGCTCTACAAGGCGAAGTCGTACAAACCTGTGAAACATCTCATTTTGATCGGACAATCTTAAAAACTTTAATTAAAATGTGAAATTTAGAAAAAGATAATTTTTAGGGTCGTCAGAAATTCTTTTTTTAAAAACCTCCAAATATATTGAATTTTTGGCAAATTTAAATGGACTCTGCAAGATGACACTTTGGGATACTGAATCGTATGATTACTTCAATTTCGAAGAAAAAATCAAATTTCTAAGAGGAGCCCTTAAATTTTTCATTTGTTGTCCATTAATTATCAAAATTTAGGAAATAGTTTCTCGTACTAATATATTTGTCTTATGTCTGGATGTTTCTAGATTCAATGATCTTTATAATGATTTACAGCACAAAGAGATGACGGAATCTGTTGTACAAATATTATTGATAAACGAAAAACGTGCAAGAAATTCTTATACACAATCTCATTTTCAAAAATTACGTGTTTTGCAAGATAATGAAAATGATGAAATAATAAAAAAACTTGGTGGAAAATCAATGGATACATTTGTATTTGGACGGTATGATTTATTTCCAATCTCTTATTAAATTATCTATATACTATAGAATTCTTCATTTAGATGTGGCTACCTTCAATTTTCACAACATCATCCTGATTCACTATTGGAAAATCCAAAAAATTATCAATTATTATTAAATCAAATTTATAGTGCCGTTAAAAATAAACGACGATGTCAAAAATTATGCAGCTAATGTACTGAGAAATATTTATAAAAATTAAAAAGTTCTTTTTTAACATAGCATTGTCTGGTTTTTACATTTTTGTCATATTTTTTACAGCATTATATTCTTGCTTATTATTAAAAGAAAAAGATGTTTTTCTAGTGTAATGATATTATTTATGAAAATTTAAAATAAAAATATGTGAATCATTATTTCAAGTATATAGAAATTAAAGAGTAATTTAACAATACTATTGATGTTAATACAATTAATCAACATTTTAATTATTTATTTTATAGAATAAAACGTGAGTAAAAAATTTCATAAAAAATATACTTAATCGATAACAATATTAATTGCATTTCTAGTAAAATAAGTGGAAAAATAAATGCTTAATTTATTATTTTTATTATTATTTTCTTTTTTCTATCGTCAATATCGATTAAAAACTGTCAAGACATTGTGCATAAAAAAAAAAAAAATAAAAAAAAATGAAAAAGAACTGACTGTAATGCTGGAGAACGAAATACAGAAAAAGTCTTCCTGTATATATATATATTTTTTTTCTTCTCTTTTTTAATATTTCCGTCCGTTTGGAAAGAGAATAAGAAAGAAATAACAAACCATTAGCAGCATGAGATGAAGAAAAAAAAATTTTCGAAATGTTAATTTTTTTTTTTCAATGTAATACGAGAAAAAGTATTTAGAAATCAATTTTAGACAAAGTTCTTTTTCTTTTATTCATCAACAATGTATCGAATAAACAAAAACAGTTTGATCGGCTCATTAAATAGTTGTAACAGCTTACTTTTACATATTAATATCGATTTTTTTTTTTTTTGTTCATAAAAAAACATCTACGTTTTTTTTGTTTTTTTGTCTCGTTTGTTTTTATTTCATTTGAATGTGTATACAGAAGCGTCTATATATTCTATTCGTTGGTCAGTCAATTCAAAGTCACCTTAGCAATATCTTATGATATTAATAAAAATGAACAAGAGAAAAAGTTCTTTTTTTTCGTTCTAAGGATAAACATAGGTATCGTTGTAAGCATACATAAATGTTTTTGTGTGTGTGTGTGTGTGTATGTATATAGGAACAGGACAAAGAGTTATTGATAATGATAGTGAGAGAATTTTTACTATGATAAATAACAAAAGTGGATAATAAATCATGTGCGTCTAAAATCTTTATCGACTACGTAAAATAGCTATCCAAATAACTCTCTGAAATAAATTGGACATTTGTATATATATTTTTTTTCACAGCAGTTTCTTTCAATTATAACAATGACATTATTTTTCTGGTTTGTAACAAATAATCAATTTAAAAATAAATTTATTTTTAAAATGATAAATTTGTAAAAGAAATATTTATTATTTCATATTTATCGCCATTTATTTATACTATGAATCATTTTCTATTTTCGAAACTTGCTCATTTCTATGTTAAAAAAATAAAAATAAACATATACAACTAGTGAAAGAGACAGAAAATATGTGAATCTTTTCGAAACGTTTGATAATCACAAGGTAAGATCTAAAAACGGTTAAGGCATACCTAACCTTTGTACACATTTAGACAGTTGAGTTCTTGTATGAATTTATAGAATTCTATACCTTTTTTTTTATAGAATTTGTCCGTCATTTATGTATAATAAATAATGAAATATGATAAGAAAATCATGTTTCTCAGTTCTCGTGTTTTATTTTCCCCTGTTCGTGATCGTTGTTCTTTACGTGCTATGCTTTTTTTAGAAAACTGCAACGAAAAAATCAGCAGCTATTGTTGTTGCTGGTGGATCAATGATGATGATGATGATGATGATGATGTTTTTTTCTCTTTTTGTTTTTTTCTATACATGCGCCAAAAACAAAGTCAACAACAAATGTTAGAAAAAAAAAAAAAAGAACGAAGAAAAGAACGAATGACGAGTTTGTATCGTGTATTAAATTTTTTTCCAAATATTAGTAGGAGCATGGCTGTAAAGTAACAGGGGCGGACTAAAAATGCATACCATTAGTAAACAAATTGAAGAAATAATGATAAAAAAAAGACATTTTATTGTCGACGTGTAAATAAAATGACTAATTTAATGAATCTATTTATTTTAGATAACTAGACCATAAGATGAATATTAACGACCAATTATATTTAAGACCCATCAATATGAATATTTTACAAACAGTTTATTCGACTGAAAATACGGTAAATATTTACAGATTGTGTAATCAATAATTTGTTTAAAATCATTAAAACTTTCTTTGATCGTTTTTTTTTTGTATGGTTTAGTCCGATTCATCCACGGTCACCGTAGAATTTACTTTTAACAATAATTTATCATTAACATTTTACAATTGTGTATCTAATTTATTAGATTTAACAATACCCTATCGATTATTAATGGAAAAGAATATAAATCAATGTTGGTTATGCTTATATAAGAGTGAAACAAATGATTTAGAAAATCATTTACAAAGTAATCATTTTAAAATTGGACAAATAATTTGTCCACTCTGTACTAGTATAATGAAAAATTTAATCGAATTACAAACACATTTGTCTAATGTACATTTACAAATGAAAAAAATGTTATCTATTTCACCGAAATATTCAATGGACATGGTAAAATCACCATCATTAACGACTGAAACTTTATACAAATGTTTAAAATGTACATCAACATTTAGCGGTAAAATGCAATGGTTACAACATGTTCTTCATCAACATTTACCATTATTTACAAATAAATGTTTATGTTGTTTACAAACAATAAATAAAATTGGAAAATTAATTTGGCACATTACTCAAACACACGAACAAGATGAATTTACGCAAAAATGGGCAGAAATAGATCCGACAATTCATTTAACAAATCACTCAGCAACATCTTACACAACAAAAACAGATGTAAAACTACCAAAGAAAAAAGCTACATTTCATCGACAACAAAAAGAACGAAGCGTAATGGAAAAACCACAAAATGTAAGGAAATATCGGAAATAATTCATGGGATAACTAACGTTTATATGACAGAGGAAAAAAAATTGGCTCCTTCGTCATGTTTGTAGATATGATGTGTACCAAATCTTTTTTCACTCATGCAGTGCATAACGAAGAAAAACGTCCTCAATTTTCTTCGTCTGTCCAAACTCTGATTGTTTGTGTTGTTTCTTGAATCAAGTGAATTATAGTTAGTCAGAGACGAATCGGTGGTGAGGTAATCCCCGCCGTTTATCTGATTCCGACAATAATTTCGATCATCAGTCGCAGAAACACTCATTTTGCGTATACGATCAGACGTGTAAAAAAACTAAATTAGGTTGAGATAAGGTATGAAGAAAAGAGCTCCCCTTTCATTTTTCTATGCAACAGATAATCACAATAACATAGTGTGAATGTACATCCGGAAATGGTTTTTGATAGACATTTTACCCTTAATCTCTAGAGTTATGTACTTTGCGCACGTTTGTTACTTTGAAAACATGCGCATACAGAGTGAAAGTTTTAAAAACTCAGGTGCAAACGAAGATCCGTTCTCTTTTTATTTAATTACATTCGTTTGTATTTATTGATTGATGCCTTACATTAGCTATTATTGTTCATCGCTCTGATAAGTCATCAGATATTACTCATATTGCAATCGTTTTTGTTCAATCAATTTTTTTCTTCTTTTCTCCACCCGTTTAGGACGACATCATTTTGATTTGTTACTAATACAGACCAATAAATCATTAGAAACTAAGGTTACAACAACACAAGCGTGAATGATCGTTTAGCTCTATTTTTTTTTAATTTTCCACTCCAACTATTAAAACTTCGTCTATTGATCTTTTGTTTTTGAAAGTCTCGATGGAATTTTACCCTGATGAAATGAATCTAATAGCATGTTTATGTTCTTAACGAAAAGTTCTTCACTTTCGGAGATGTTTCGCTAGTAGTACTAACGATATTTTTGACATATTTACAAACTCTTTATACAGCTTAGTTCACTTCACTTTTTTTCCTCTTTTCATTTCCTAGTTTTAATTTTATTTTAATCTGATCTTTTTTTTTCAGGGTTTCTCCAACCATGTTGTTGGTGATAAAATCGTAAATGACCAAAAATCATCAGAATATCAGGAAGTGATGTTTGTTGGCTCAGAACGTACTATAAAAATGGATTCTGATATTGAGAAGTATGTTCAACAATTGGTCAATACGATTTATGCTAAAACAAATGAAGTTGAACAAACAAAATCAGTCAATGTTACTCAACATAAACCTTCGTCACGTACAATATCAAAACGTTTAAGAACACAAACATTACGTCCAAAATTAAATACTGTACCAACAACAAATAGACAAAAAACGATTATACCACTTACAAATAATGGATCTAGTATAAAAAAATCTATACAAAATAATTTACCAAATCCTCTACTAGATAATATTGTTAATCAAATTGTTAATAATATAATCACAATAACAAATAAAAAAGAAATTGAAAATCGTGAACAAGCAATATCAACAGTATCTACTATTCAATCTTTATCATCAACAACATCAAATGAATTATGTAATTTATTTTCTTATGTATGTCCTATCTGTTATAAAGCTTTTGAACAGTCATATTATTTACGTACACATTTTTTTAATTATCATCAAATACAAAATCCATTTGTCTGTCAGTATGATTCTTGTTTATCGTTAAATAATATAGGCAATGATTATCTACAACATTTATGTAATTATCATTCGGATAATTCACTTTTACTATCAATATTATTATCATATCGATTAAAAGAGCTCATTAATGGTTATTTATGTAAATTGGATAATTCTTATAATAGAATAATGAAAACAATTGGAGATAAACAAACTAAAAATGAATTAGAGTTAATGTTAATGCAGAATTTTAATGGGTAAGAGAAAATTGAATAGAAAAAAATAAAAAAACCTATTGAGACGAGAAAAATCACGGCTATTAACTGAAACATAAGTTTATGTACAATTTTTGATCTTATCTTGTATTATATATTATTTGCTATGAATTGTTTGTGTTTAGAGTTAACAGTGATTCCTACTTCTATCATACAAATGTATCAGATTTAAATAGTTTATGTCAAAAAATTGATGCTCGTATAGTATATCGTAAATATTTTGCTAAAATTCCTTTGTCATTAACCGATGATCAATTAAAACATCAAACAAATCTTAATTATTATCAGTGTAAATTATGTTCAAGTATATTTCGTTTATATTCGAGTTGTCAAGAACATATTAAAAATATTCATACATTTTCTAAATGTCAGACATGTTTACATTGTCATGAATTAGTTAAAACAACAAATAATAACAATGACAAATATCGACAACATTTAATTACATGTCCAACATTGACACCAGCAAATAACATTAATACGAATATTAGAGAAATGAAAATGGATGAAGTTATAACATCCAATCCTGGGTAAGTTTAACCGTTCTTTTTACTGATCAATTACAGATAAAAATTTCGTGCGCTAATTTGAAGAATATTTTATGAGAAAACTTTTTACATTGTGCTTCTCGTCAAATTATCTATGTACTTTGTACAATAATTTTTTAGTTCCTGTTTTGTAGACGTTTAACTTTGAGTTTTGCTTAGTAGTCTTATTTCTTAATTATTTATTTCTAATTAAAACGGATGGATTGTTTAGCTGTTATGTGTCGTCATTTGTTTAATATGATTTCTTTAACATCCTTAGTAGTTGGACGATTTCATCGTAGAGAACATCATTTTACTCTAAGTATATCACAGAGCCCGTTTTTTAATTAATCGATCAAACGCTCTATGATCTTACATACTTTATCGAACAAACGGTCGTGACCTGATTGCTCTACTACTATATTCAATTGAATTTTGTATGAAATAATTTTCTTTTACTAAAACAAAGTCTATGAATGTATAAAATATATGTTCACTTCATAGCTCTGTGCAAAGCGTACTTGAATCCATATGTTACTATTACTTAAGTAATATGTCAGACAAATTGGATAACGACCAGCATAGATGATTATCTCTAATTTACATTTGTGGTTTGTTCGAAATTTTAAATTCAGAAATCAACCGTTCTTTTCGTTGATAAACTAACTAATGAAGATAAGTGACTCATTTAATTCTTAGATGTTATTCGATTTTTGTTTTAGTTCAATAACTTCGTGCGATATTGAAACTGACAAGCGCTCTTCTGAATCTCATGTAGAAAAGTCAACATTAGTATCGGTGAATAAAACGTTCTCCGTTGATAAACAAAAAACTCAAGATCAAGAAACGAATATAAACAATAAAAAACGCTGTTCTAACAGAAAAATTTCTTTATCAAATAAAAAACATAAACAGTCATCAAATTTGACTACATTAAAGGTAGTCGAAGATGTTGATTATCCACCACCAGCTTTACAACGAATTTCATTAGATCAAATATGTTCGAAACTTGTTAAAGGTATGGATATTACACATGAGCAATGCATTAATGCAAGTTATCTGCTCAAACAATTAGTCATACACGATAAGCCATTAACAAGATTGAACTATTATACATGCACTGATTGTGTAACAACATTTCCTGATATATTAACAGCATTAAATCATCTGTTATTATTCCATTTACCAAAATGCTGTCTATGTTCAAAATGCTTAACTAAATTTGGTCATATAGAAATACAATCCGGTTTAATATTAGATCATTTGATTGTGTGTGAAACGAATAATCACATCAATATATCGTTTATAAAATTAATGAATGCAAAACTGACTGAACAAAAGCAAGATGATCAGACACCACAATTATCAACGACATTATTAATACATCAAAATAGAAAGAATCAACAGGTGTTGCCAATGTCTATCAATCAATCGGTATGTATATCGTAAAAAATAAAACATTTTAGTAAATATATTCAGTATTTCAGCTGAATAATACTTCGAATAGTAGCAGCGGTATTATTTCCAACGATACTGCTCCACAATCATTAACCATTCAATCTAATGATGTGAACAAGAAACAACAGCAGAAGGAGCAACTTATATGTGTTGTTGATAGCGACGTTACTTGTTCGTTATGTTTCATGAAATTTCCAACTAATGTCGATTTTCAAACCCACATAACAAAAACTCATTTAATTTACAACTGCACATTATGTCCAAAACCCGGTGGAGAGGTAATAAGATATTTTCATTTAGGTGACAACTATTTTTATTAATTTTTTTTCTGTCGATGAGCATTGTACAGTCGTTTAGAAAAGTATTTCACAGATCAATACATAACTGGTAATCCAGATATAATGGATAGTTTTGTAATTTGCTAGCTATCTCAGGCTTTATCTCTACGATTTTTCTTTTCTAGTAAAAGAGCCATTGGGAAATTCTCTACAAAAACGTATCGAGTGTTTATTAAAAAAATATAAAAGTGGAACGTTATACGAAAAATACTAAGAAAATCTAAAGTGGGCAACTTTCTAATCTAAAAATCACTTTATGCTATTTTATTCCTTCGACTGTTGAGATAAAAAAACTAGTCATTTGTAGCTCTTGAGAAACTCTATCTTCTATCTGTAATGAAAATTTTTTTATCTTACAACGGTTTGCGAGAGCAATGGTAATGTTTCGCTTTACCAAAACTCGTCATTTGTGAAGAGCAATTCCGTATCGTTACGTAAAACCCTCATAACTCGTTCAAAATCAAACATATTCAGCTCGACTTGTTTTTATTTTAAAGAGAAGTAACAATTTAATTTTAATTAGCTGAGAAATACTCTAGAAAGTTGCCCACTTTAGAGCTTCTTGGTATTTTTCATATAACGTTCCGCTTTTATATTTTTTTAATATACACACTCGATAAGTTTTTTGTAGAAAAGTTCACAGTGGCCCTTTTACTAGAAAAGAAAAATCCTAGAGATAAAGTCTGACGGAGATAGCTAGCAAATTACAAAACTATCCATTGTATTTGGCCTATTCATTATATGAAGTCAGTATTTTGTTTCGTTAAGTACGCATTTTTTGGAATTAGTCTTTGAAATTTACTGCATGGAACAAGACTATGTTATAAGCTAATCCATGCTATGATTATTCTTTAGTATGAACAGTTCATTGGTTCAACATCTTACCATGAGCATTTAATCTCATTTCATTTATCACAATCAACACCATTTTATCGTTGTTATTTATGTTCAATAAAGTTTGAATCATTTTCTTCCTTATGCTTACATTTACAAAAAAACTGTTTATCCCAGTGCCAACATTGCGATTTATGTCAGCAGCCATCACAGATCAGTTATTCAACTCCAATTGATCTATTTCAACATATTATTCAAGAACATCAGAATATCATTCAACTTTACCTTCAGTGTCCACTATGTCTGATCGATGTTAACAAAGATAATTTAAATGATCATTTTGAGCAGGAAACATGTCTACGCAAAATAAAAACGGAACCAATTGAATATCCTAGTACGACGTTAGATACATCAATTAAAGTTTATTGCACGTTATGTAAACAAATATTAATTTTGAGTAACATGGATGATATTCAAGCACATTCATGTACAAGTGAACAGTTATTTACGAATACGGGCTCAATGAATGAATTAATTATTGATTCAGTGTACTCACTAACAAATGAGAGTTTTATGAGTAGTGATACTAGCGAGGATAGTGCATCATTACCGCAAACATTTTCATTGTCACTAATACCGTCCATGGGATGTTCTAGAGATATAACGTTTGTTGAAAATGAAACGGTAACTGCAAATCAAGTAAATAAAGGTAAATAGTAGAACAATATCAGATGTATAAAAACGATCGATTGTTTGTTTCATTCTAGAATCAGCACCTATTATTAATCATGTCCCTGATCTTGATAAAGAGATATCAACAGAGTCAAAAATCATAGTAGAAGAGAAAAATACTGTTTTAAAACAAAAAACACAATTAGATCTATCATCTTCTTTAAATGGCCGTATTGTATCGCGTTACGGAAGAATAAGAAAGCAAACATCAAGACAACAGAGCCCTCCAGCATTAGTTCGTCACAATAATGTGAAACGCTTAACTAAAAATAACATCGATAGAGAACAACAACAATTGCCACCTCCGCCTGTCGCAGCAATCAAATCAAAACAATTAACGGAAAAATTATTGAAAAAAAGGGATTCAGTAACAACAATAATTACGAATGATCGAGCCAAATTAGCTTGTCAGACATTGATAATAAGAACAGCCAGTCGACAAACTTCGCGAACATCAACAGCATCCACATCTTCAGCAGTGGTAAGACAACTTAGAGCTTGTACAAGAAAATCTCAGTATAGGGTTAATACTACCTTAGATCGCTTCATTATCAGATGTTTTTCGAAGTAAAATCGAGAGATTGAGAGAAAAGATATGAGTAGTACTTGTCAATGGTATTACTTGTCACTAGTATTACTAGTAATGTATGATTTACAATAGCCGGATGTTGTCTTGCCACTCGTCAATATCTATCCAAATGTCTCACAAATATTGTGCATTTAACCTACTGCTTATAAAATTCAAATATAGGATTCATTTTCCATTTTTAAACTAAAATCTAGGTTTTACGAAGATTGCCAGTTAGTTCAGATCAATCTGAAGTTGTCCTCTAACATAAATGCTCTAAGTTTAATTAATGCTAACTTAACGTGATAAGTATTAATACAAAAAAATAGTTCTTTTCATTAATTAGACAATCCGTAAAAGTTTACACATAAAGTTTCATTCGGGTTATCTATTTGTAACTTCTTTGAGTCTACGTATGAATTTTTCCATTTTAACTTTTCGCCGTTTCTTTGATATACCACATATATCTCTTAGTTTTATTTCTAATGTAATTTTTATTATATTTTGTATTTTAGCCATTAACTAAAACACAATTTGTTACTGATGAAAACCAAAAACGTTTATTTGATGAAAAATCGTCGTTATTGTCGATGTTACCATCGTGTAATAATATAAATATAAACAATAATATTTTCAATAATGTATCATGTACAAATATTCAACCTTCTCCGTCATCTATAAATCCTGTTTTATTAAAACTAATGACACCGTCTCATTCACAACAATTTTCAACATCTCCAACAATAACTGCCATAACACCGACGCTGAATAATAATGCCTTAATAAATCTTCTTCAATCATCAGCGAACGATATTTTATCAAAAACAATAGCTACGTCATTATTACTCAATATGAACACCGGTATAATAGACACATCCCAACAACAACAACAACAACAACAACAACAACAGAATGTTACTAACAACGGTCTGGTGTTACAATTACCACCATCATTTTTCCAAAATGTACAAACAAACGGATTAGAATTAAAACTTCTATTACCTACGAATAATAATAATTCTTGATTTTATTTTTAATGTTTTTTAAGTACGATAAAGAAGATTTCTACTTATTTTGATTGCTGCATTTTTTTTGCTACTGTTGTTTTTCTGCTTCTTTTAACTGATAGAATAGTTGATAAATTTTTATGTTGAACTGGTATTGTCTTCTGGTTGTACTTTCATATGCGGTGCAATTTTTTTTTTCTAATTTGTACTGATGTATTTGATTAAACTCAAGTTCTTTTCATGAGTATATGTAATTTTCTACTTTAGGAACATATGCCTAAACACATTTTTTATGTTAAATTTGTTTCTTTTTTAATCTTTTTTCTCGGATTTTTGTTAATATATTTGCCATTGTTGCTTCTTTTTTTATAGTTGTCACGCGAATATTTTTGGTTTAATACTGCTTATTTTCAATTATTTATTTACACACAGTTTGTTTTTCCAAAAAGAAAGCTTGCTACTGAACACATTCCTCTTAATATACATTTATATTTGAACTTGTTTTATTTTATGTATACAGATATCTGGGAAGAACAGCATCTCTATTATCATGCCATTGCACTGCGATGACGATGATGATGATGAGTAAGCGATTCATTGAATTAAAGAAAGAACTAGTTACTAAAGTAACTTAAACATTATTTGTACAATTAGTGATGGCGTTACTTATGATAAAGAAGAACAAGTCGAAGTCGAATATTTATTTAATCAAGTTTGATCGAAAACGGTGACGCTAAATCATAAACCGCGTAGTTATATGAAAGTACAACCATTATAGCGCTAAGTTATATTTATGCATAAACCTCACATTTGTTTTACTATACACTAAGTCTGCTGAGAATGTTCTAGTACATACAGTGGTAATGTGTTAACGGACAAAAACAGGTTTCGTTTTGTCAAACATTTAATTTACATCAGGTGCAATACGACAATTGCTATAAAAAGATAAGATGATTAAGCTATAATGAGACAAAAAATCCGTTTTAGTAGAAGCTAAACTTGTACAAACTGCGATAAGCGTGAAATGACGTTTGTTTTGTTCGATTTGTGCATATTCTAATAAAATCAATAAATATACTTTTAGATTATCATTTGACATAATGGTGTTAAAATTAAATAAAATTATTGATCGAGGTTGTTAGAAATTTGAATTATTTACATTATATTATATGTGCATGAATATGAATTTTGCTGTTTTAGCTCCACAATTGGAACAAGTTGAAGGTGTCAGTGTACTAGGAATTGAATACGGTGGAATACTACTCTTCACTGCATCAACTACATGTGTTTTTCGGGTATAGTAATATTAAAATTACATACAATGTGGTCTATATATTATTTTTTACAGGGAACAAATACTCGACGCTCCATCATTGGTGGAGTTCAAATTGTAGATGGACAACAGCATGTACGTTTAAAATATCGAATATGTTCATAATCAGAACATAATTTTCTCTATTAAGATCTTTTATCATCATTCATCATGCCAAAGAATTACTCATGCAAGTGTCAATAGTAGTCGTACACTGTGCTGTAAGTGTAATTTTCGCTAATTTCGTTTATAATTACTAACGGTACATTTTTCAGGTTTTGTTGTTAGAACAGGTCAGGCTTTAAAAAAAATAGCTAGCGATTGAAATGATTTTTTTTTGTGTTATTCGATCTACGTGTAGCTATAGAAAGCTCTTTTATATTGTGTCAACATAAAATATCATTTTTTTGTTTAAGAATCACTTATTGGTCAATCAGCGTGCTATGAAGTATTTGTAGCTGAAATTAATCCTCAAGAACGTTTATTTGCTCTAAATTTTCAACGTTCAAGTTCAATACGTGCGTATTTAGCGTTATTACCACAGTCGAATGTAGAACATCAACAATGTCACGATGAAGATGCAATTATTATTCTTTATAAAGAAGGTAAGATGTTACTGTTTTCTTGATCTTGTTTTTATTCTTGTTATCCATTTCTATTTAAGCTGCTAGTGTATTTCGTATGCCGAACAATGAGGCAGTCGTGCAGGTAGAGTGAAACATTATCATTCTGACTCATGAAGAGTAGTATCAGTTTTTTCAAGAAAACATTTGACTTAAAGATTGTCACGGACTACAGTAGACTTTTTTCTTCAATTGCTAGAGAAATCTGCTACAAATTTACCAAATTAAAGCATTATTTTTATAGCAATGATAGATTTCTATACGATGACGATTCGTTTGTGTTTTAGAACGATCAGTCAGCAGTTCAGGCTGACATATTATTAGATAAATTACTCTATCAACAATGGGACTCACTTGCACAACGTTTACATGTTATAAGACGAAAATCCGATGTATTAACTAAATTAACGTCGCGCGTATTTCCAAACTCTTCAAGAGCATCAATTTCTACACCTGTAACAAAAACTCATACGATAAATGAACATCTTGTGTATTACTGTTATATTTTGACAACAAAAGGCGTATTTCAAAGCATTGTAAGCGATATAAAGTTAGTTTCTTGTGAAATCGTGTTACCAATTTGATTGTTTGCTTTAGATCGAGATTAGTTTTGCCTTACCTTTATTTCGTTTTGAAACAAAATCAAAACTAAGTATGTTAGAACATATATGAAACTGTCCGATTACATATTTTATTTTTCTGAGGTCAAAATCTGTTTAATTTCGATATACTGTCGTCTGAAGGTGGACTATTATATGTTTGTTTGCAGTCATCAATACAGGTATTACTAGGAAATTTCCTTTTTTTTCTTTATTAGAATAATTAATGTACATATATGCTCATTTTAGAGTAAAAGCGCAGATATCGAGTATATTGTTGTATCATTGGCGCATGGTTTGTATCCGTTTATCGTCTTTTAAATACTTTCTGGAATTCTATTTTGTTTAGGACGTAGTACGCACACAAGTAAAAAACTAATTGCAACAAATTCCACTATATATTCATCACGAAAAATTCATTTTGGACTAATTGGTATGTCATCATTTCGCGTCTGAAATAAATTTGGAATGATAATAAATAATGGCTTTTAGACAACTGTTTGCGACTCGAGCCTATTGAACTGGACCATATAGGAATAGCGCAGTTTGGAAAGCGGTTTATAGATTCAGCCAGCAGCGTTCATGACTAATGACTGATTTGTTATGAATTAGAACAAAATTTGACACTATGTCAGGTTACTGATGACGGACCCTTCCCAAATGATTCAAGGCCCTTCTAATTCAAGCTAGTTTTCCGAGAAGACTAATTCTTGATGGTGATCATGAGTCTGTTCTCCGTTTGTGCTGTTATTGAGCTTCTGACTGAGTCTTTAGAAACCTGTTCTCTACAGGTTCATTATGAATCTGACCAGTTATTGATCTCAACTACAACGAAATATCTGACTTTTTCAGATTTTTGATAATAAACTTTTTCTAACTCAATAGACCTTGCTCGGTAGTTCTAAAACTGTTTCCATGAACTCTCTAGAGACTAGGCTTTTAAAAAACCCATCAGAAGCTCAATAATAGCACAAACGGAGAACAGACTCATGATCACCATCAAGAATTAATCTTCTCGAAAAACTAGCTTGAATTAGAAGAGGTTTAAATCATTTGGAAAGGGTCTGTCATCAGTGATCGGAAATAGTGTTAAATTTTATTCTAACTCATAACAAGTCTAACAAGGGAACATATTTGAGTGACCCCCCCCTAGAAAAGAGACGAGACCTAGCCTGTTTTGTAGAGAATTTTATGCTGATCACAAATATGTATATCTTAGCTGCTCTCGTTGAGATCTCGATATGAGCGAGAACATTATTTATTTTGCCTAAGGTGCGTGCAAAAGTTGAGCAAACTTTTTTTGAACTTATTATACATCGTTCGATAGAGCTCGTTGGACTGATTAAGAAAATATATCTTTTAAAGTTTCCAAAAACTGTTTTCATGTCGAAAAATCGAAAAAGCTTGATACAACGCAAAAACTCATGTTCTCTCGCGTATCGAGATCTCCACGAGAGCAGCTAAGATATGCATATTTGTGATCAGCGTAAAATTCTCCACAAAATAGGCTAGGCCTCGTCTCTTTTCTAGGGGGATCACTCAAATATGTTCCCTCATAAGATAATTTCTTTTTAATTTGGCGTTTGTTTAGATGGTTATATTTTTTGTTACTTACGCGGGGAATTTATTCATTTATTAAACTTTTATATTCAATCATCGTTTACCAATCATTTATTTTTCAATGATGATCAAGTTCTATCAAGTATATATGATTTGAAATATATTACACAAGCTGTATGGGATGATAATCGTAAAAATTTGGTTAATTTAAATAAACATGGCAATACGATTTTGTACTCAAAAACTAATCTGATTACATATTCAATTGAAATTGATCAAAATGCACTGTTAGAATTATTTGATATAACGACAAATAATTATTACACAATACCTGTTATACATTGTGCACTCATAGGATTAAGTGAACCTCGACTCTTAATAGAAATATTAGATAAAATTAGAAGTGCATACTATGAATTATATACAAAAGCGTTATTAAAAGAAATGTTAACAGGTAATATCAAAATTTCTCCAAAAATTTAATAACAAAGTCAATCCATTGACTTGATTTTAGCATTGATTTATTTGCGTTTGAAAAAGAAATTTAATAACAATCGTTTATTAGTGTTTCCATCGACCACGATTTTAAACGCACGCGATAATCCAGTATATGAATTATAAACTGTAAATGATGTGTTAACTTTCATGTTTTTTCTCTTTGAAGTATCATGAACTCGGTATTAAATTTTCTGTACATCATAAAGTTGAACAACCAGAACCACAAGCATTTGCGTCACGTTTAACTGGAATGGAAAAAGAATATATTGATAAAATGAAGTACAAATATGAATGTTTCTCTTAATACTCTCACTTTTTGATTCTTCGTATTTAGATTGTTGTGTGATTTAACTCACAAATATAGAAAAAAATTAAACTACTATCATGTATACAATGTTGAAGAAGAACTTACCAGTCGCAACGATG